CGAAAAAAAAATATGAAGCTCAAAAATTCTGGTGATCCAATTCGTTGAAGCCAGTTATATTTGCGTTACCTCGAGTGTTTTCTTATCTTTTTTGGTATCAATTTATCTTTCCAGTATCAATTTGAACACGAGAAAGAGTCACGGAATTAACAGCACCTTCAACTATTTTATTTTATTGTATATGTATTAATTTATGCGATAACTGCTCCAGGCGGATTCGATAGAGTTGTTGAACGGAGACTGTATGGTCACGGGAGTGGTAATTTAGGATGAATTTGCCAGAGAGTTGTCCTAAATTTGGATTTTTCTTCTTTTGGGAAGGTCGAATGGACGAAATTCGTGGCTGGCCAAAGTTTTTGCCGAAATCCTTGAGCAACTCTGAGAATTTCTTTTTTTTCAAAGCTCGGATGCCGAATACGTCATTAGAATCAGATGAATATGGTATGATTCCATGCCTTTTCAATGGTTGCTACCAAAAAGCCGTCCTATCTACTCTTCAAGGTCCATTCATCTATTTAATTGCTACCCGAAATTCCAGTGTTGGCACCATTTTTGGTCATCCATGGCTACAGAAATATTTCCAGGCGCATAAGAACCTGGACTCTTACCTAGTGTGGTTTGCACTGAAAAAGCGCCAGAAATACTCGGAAAACAATAACCCTAGTCGATAGGCAGCCGATGGGTTAGGGAGCCCCCCGTATCATTGGATATGAACGCCTCCAGCAATAGTCTATTCTCGGTGAACGAATAATTCACTATCGTTTGGACGAAAGCAAGAGCGGACGAGAACACATACATACACACTCACACACTCATTCGTCCAGCCACAGTCATTGCCTTGTGGCAAGCGCGGCTTTAGGTTCACAACCTTCCGGTATTTTCGGCTATCTTTTGTCACTGATAATCAGCGCATCACGAACAGATACGTTATGATCAATTCTTGATTGGCTAGCCCTGGATAGTCTGTTTTAATACTACGTTTCTCTTGAAAACGTTTGAAGGTTCATACCAATCCAGCTTCTTAAATTCCCTTCCCGATACCGCCTAAGGTGTCTGCCCATCAGTTGCTGACTTGAATAAACAGCCTATACTCCTAAAAATATGCAAATGCACGGTAGCTCCTTTCCTGAAAAACACCAAAAGTTGCCCCGATATTGGCGCATTTATCAACACAAACATGTAAAAGGTATGTCCCTTACCTTCAACACAAGAGATGTGACCATTAAAATGTCGTTTCACTCTGTTTACCTCACCCCGTTCTTCGAATTCCGGTGAAATTGTGCGCTCAGTCTGACCCGAACCAATGTACACTCCTACTCACAACTCAGGTTTCTGGCCACATCTCTCGAGCTGCTCACACTAATGGTTTGTCATCCACTAAATTGCATTTATTATAAGGTATCTTCAGGAACTCGAGCAGTCGTGTAACTGTAGCACGTCCTGCCTCAGGCTTGTCCATTATATATATATGTCTAATCTCGTCCCAATGCCGATTATTCTTCCGTTGTGAATTCAAACACACAGCCACCAGCACGACCACCATATAAAGCCGTCGTTAGCGTCGTTCCATCAATCTGCCCAGTCACGTTAACAATTCATGAAGTTCTATTGTGACATCTGTGTATGGTCGTCATGAGGGGTGACGTTGGTGAGCGAGAACAGAGAATGAGAGAGACAAGAAAGGCGAGAGACAACAGAATGATTGAGATGATTGTGAGGAATCATTAATCAGACTCACATAACCACCTGGGCGGCATTCATTAAAGTTAATAATTAACAGGTCAATTCCCAATGCTGCGATTGAGTTTCTGACGGCTATAGCCCGAGTCGAGCAAAGCCCTTGTGCAGCGCAATGCAGAACTTCTTTAAATTTTGTCTCTATCTTCTTCGTCCTCATTTTTCTCTTTCATACCCCCCCCCCCCCCCATTCTTGATGGGCTTTCCTTAATTTACTCATGAACATAACGGGAGGACTACCTTGGTAGAGGTAAGCAAGCGAACTTTGTTTTCCTCTTATTCTCCCCACTTGTTTGCATTCAGGTATTCCCTTCTCTGAATTCCTAATTTTCTTATAATTC